CACCTCCTCCAGGAAGCCTGCATGGACTTCCCAGGCAGAGTTTATTGTTTCCTTCTCTGTGCAATTTTACTTACCCTATAATGGCACTTATCTCAATGTGCTGGGGTTGCGGGTTAACATGTCTTTCTACCCCACCACCCTTCATGGCAGCTCCTGAAAACCCCGGACTATGGCTTATATTTTGTATTCTCTAGAGTCTAATGGGGGTCTCACCTTCCTTACAAAGCTGGCAATACTTGATGGAGACAGGAAGGAAAAGGAAAATGGAGTGAAAACTTTGTATAGTTATAGATTCTTCAGTTTCTGAGCCATTCCTTATACACTGTGAGGGATACAAAATAATTAAAACTTGTTTTTGCCCAGTTTGGCTCAGCGGTTAGAGCGTTGGCCTATGGTCTGGAGAGACCGGGGTTCGGTTCCCGCTAAGGGCACGTACCTCGGTTGCAGTTTGTCCCTGGCCCTGGTTGGGTCGTGTGAGTGGTGACCACTCGATGTGTCCCTTTCACATCGATATTTCTCTCCTCTCTCCCTCACACTCTATCTGAAAAAAATATCAAAAAATGTCCTCGGGTGAGGATAAAAAAATAATAGTAATAAAATAAAATAAATAAAAAATAAATTTAAAAATTTTTTTTCCTTTATTGATTTTAGAGAGAGAGGAAGGGAAAGGAAGAGAGAGATAGAAACATTGTTTGGCTGCCTCCTGCATGCCCCCCACTGGGGATTTGGCCACGACCTGAGTATGTGGCCTGACCGGGAATTGAACCAGCCACCTCTTGGTGCATGGATCGACGCTCAACCACTGAGCCACACCGGCCAGACAAGAAGTAATTTTCTCAAATGAAACTCTTATTGTGTGTTAGCCCACCATTCTCTGACACACATTTCACACAGTGCTGATTGTCCTGCAGTTTCTTCAAAGCTGCTGATAAGGCTTAGAGTCCTAAAGAAGTAAAGGCCCAGGGAGATTGGGGATTGCCTAAATTCACACAGCCAATTAATGACCAAGACCAGACTAGAACTCAAGGCTTTTGGTACCCAGGCCAGGGCCCTTGACACGATATCAATGGCCTTTATTCAAGTTTTCCCTCCAGGCAACAGCATATAATTATCAACATTAGTATTTGGAATTTATGTGCTGCTTTGCTTCACTGGCTTTTTTATTATCCTTTTGATTAGTAATTCGGTATGCAGCCCAGACATGGAGCAAAGCCAAGACAGGGAGGAAAGAAGCAGAAGGAGGCCAAGGCCAAGTAGGGGACCATGAGCCCCTGTGAGAGCAAGGCCAGAGGGAACCAAAGGTGCAAGAGGGCACGTAAACTCAAGGAGACAGTGTCGTGTGTGTGGGTGGGGGGGTGTTTGTACAGATGCTGAAATGGGCCTCAGATGAGTGGTCCAAGAGACTTTCTAACCTCAGGGCCTCCCCTCTAATGGGGCAGGGACAATAAGAACAAGAATATATTTAACACCCAACAGGTTAAACACCAGTACCAGCCCTGAGACAGACCACAAGGCTTAGGGAGCTATCTGCCCAGCCCAGAAGAGGAGGAAACCCAAGCTCCATGACAAGAAAGGAGGGGATGGGTAGGGTTTCTAGCTCAGATTGTGGCTGTTGGGAGCTAAATGGAATTGTTCCAGATGCCCCATGCCATGTGAGAGTGGCAGGTCTGGGAGCCCACCATTCAGCTGCAATGGCATCCTTGGATGGGAGGAAGGAGGGCTTGCCCTGCCAGCCCCATCCTCAGTGTCTCCTTCCAGCCCTGGCACCAGCGTCACGCTGCTCTAAGGTTTACTTTGTGGGCCCCTATTTACCTTCAGCAAATAAGAATACTCTCCCCTCCCAACCTCCTGGTACTGTAGTGAGACTCAAGATGTTGTGGGGAGCTTGAAAATAGCCTCATCCACTCATAACAGTCAAGATGAGGGTGTCCCCATGCTACAAAAAGAAAACTGAAGTGAGGGGGGTGATAAAGAGCATCGCAGTGGGGGAGACAGCGCTGGAAGCACTGGCTCAGGCCTCAGATCTCTCTCTGGGAGAACTGAGGGGAATGCTCACCCACTGAGGGACTATTTGGAGCCAATGTGTCACATATGTCATCTTGCTTTGTCCTCATATGACTCTTATGAGGTGTTACAGCTCCCCCATTTTGTTAATAAGAAACCTGAGGCTTTGAAGTTAAATAATTTGCTCAGGATTATACAGTTAATAAGTGGGACACCAGGATCAAAACTTAGGTCCATAGTCTTTAAAGTCCATTGATTTCCCAGCACAGCACTGCTCTCACCACACGAAGAGGTTTAATCTCTATGAGCCCAGGGTCTTCATGAGTGAAATGGGGTGTGTGTGTGTATATATATTGCTTCATAGAGTTGTTTAAAAATTAAACGAGATTATATTGGTTTAAAACATTAAAACCTGCGTAGTGTCTGATAAATAGTAGGCGCTCAATAAATGGTTTTTGTTTGCTTGTTTTTTCTCTTCAGGGCATATTAATATTAAAACTCAGGGCTGGGGCACCTAGGAGCTCCAAAAATGCTTCAAGAAGCCAGAAGACCACGCATCGCTTCTGGGGGAGCACGGAGGCAGGTTGGAGAGAAGGGCTGGGAGAAGGGACTCGGTTCCAGAAACCAGAGAAGCCCAGTCCAGCCTCGCGCCCCTCGCTCCGCCGCCTCCTCTGGGCTCCCCCGGCTTCCCGCTCCGCCCCGCCCCGCCCCGGAGCTGGGTCCGGAGCGCCTGGTGGGCTGATTCAGGAGCGTGGAAGGGAGCACGAAGCACGGAGGCGAGAGGGAGGCGGCGGCAGCGGCGGGAGGCGGGGAAGGAGGGACCCTCCTGGCTGCTCTCCCAAGTCGGCGCGGAGCCGCCTCGGGCCGGGCTGAGGGCTACACGGCCGCGGCGGAGCCGGGCCAGGATGCCGGGCTCCCGGGACCACGCCGGGCGGGGCGGGCGGCGGCGGCAGGCTGAGGGCGGGAGCTGTCCGTGGTGCTGAAGCGGCGGCGGAGGCAGTGACCCGGGGCCGGGAGCAGAGGTGCCCTCCCGGGAGTTCCACCGCAGCCACGAGGCGGGGGCGCCGTCGCTCACCGGCCCATGCCGGGCCTCCGAGCCCCGCGAAGGAGGCGGGACCGTCCTCGGCAGGACAGGTAAGGGGCCGTCTGGGGGCGCATCGGAAGCGCAGAGCCAGAAGCTCAGCCGGGATTGAGCTGGGGAGGGCTATGGGGCCCTTCTCAGGGATGCGGGCTTCGCCAGAGATTGCGCCAAGTCCTTCCCTACCCCTCACCCTATATGGTGAGAGGGGCCTGAGGTACTGGGGGCCCAGACAGACGCCTGGGCACCCTGACCCCACACCACCAGGCCTTGACCCCAACCTCAGGCAGCTATGAGACACCCTGCCCACAAGAAACGCTTATGAGAGTCTCCTGATTCGTGGTACCCCAGTCCTCACCAGGGCTCTGCAACACTAGGGAAATCTGAGCCAGCTTCAGTAGCTTCCCTCTCCTCCCCCAAGTCTGCTCCTCAGGGTGACTGCCTCAAGATTTCTTTGCCGTGGAATGACCCTTGGTCCAAGGGACGGGCCAGGCCCCTCAGGACCTATTAACCCATTTCTCCAAAGAAGGAAAGAGACCCTCTTGACTCTCATGGAAGGAGGCTGGTTTTGCATCACACTGCTTGGTACATGAGGGCAAAGAGTGGGCGAATCAGAGTCCTGTTTTCTATTATGTGTCTGAATGCTGGTGACCCTAGACAGAACCTCTATTTGGAGTCCTTCCTCTTTTGGCAAGAGTGAGCCAAATGAGCTCATTCAGGCCTGCAAAGTGCTTCCAGTTCTTCAGAGCAGAGTTCTCTGAGTGCTAGCATGTAGCAATCAAAATAAAACTGCGTAGAGGAAGACTGGCCTATCACTGTAGCTGACCACTGCTTTATCCCCATCTTCTCTTCTCAGCACAACTTCCCCACTCCCAGTGGTAGGAAGAGCACTAGACTAGGAGTTCCTAACTAGGTACTGGCATTCACTGACTTTAGGCCAGTTACCTGAGCTCTCTGAATCTCAGTGTCCTCATCCCTAAAGTGGGGATAAGGTACCTTCTCTGCTCACCTCAGAGAACTGCCTCGAGACCCAATGAAACAATGTGCCTGATTGAAGCCTTGTCGACTATCCATTGCCATATGGTACATTACCATATTCGGTGAGCTGTTATCACTGTTCCCATCCACAAGCCAGACTTGGATGTTCACTGTGACCCTTTCCCTCTTTTCTCCCAACCTGGCTATGGCTCCCTCTTTCCTTGTCCTCCTTGAGGTTTCAGTCAGTGAAACCCAACTTATAAGTCTTGAGAAGCTAAAAGGGTTCTCTCCCCTTCTCTTCCATCACCTATTGAAGATGACATAGGGTGAGAGTCTGACTCACAGTTTTTATTTTTATTTTTCCCCAAAATCACAGATCTAGGGAAACAACTCCTTGAAAGCAAGGATTGTGTTGTTTTAATCTCTTTGCCTCCCTCAACACCTCCTCTCCCCCATAACACCTGGAAGATAGGAAGGACTCAGTAATTGTGTGTAAAATAAGAGAATGAAGTGTTAAAATATCTCAGAACAAAAATATTTGACTGGAAGTCAGGAGCCCTGTGTTCTGGTCCCAGATCTGCCAATAACTGTCTTAGGCAGTCACTTCCCCTCTGTAAGCTTTAGTTTTCTTATCTGTAAAAGAGGGTTGAACTAAATGAGTTTTAAGATTATGAGTTCTGATGTTCTGTGGGGAAATCTGAGGGCTGTTCTGAGCCCACAAATCCCTAAATTCTTCTTGAACACAGGATACCAGCTTCATAAACCTTATTTGAAGAATAAGTTAATGTCCTTTCAATGAAGAACTGGATTTTATGAATGCAGAAATAAGAACTAGGAAAAGACATTTATAGTGTCAGTGTTTTCTTAAGATCCCCTATTCTTCCTTATTTTCCTAGGAAAGCCATAAGTGTGTACAGAGTTGCTGAGCTGGGAGGGCCTCTGCCTCTAAGCCAAGAGGCCAAGAAAGCACTCCCCCCAACATCCTTTGTGAGTAGCCAAAGGCCAGGGACCCTGTCCTTGGCCATCTCCTCCCAGGGATTCTGCCTGACTGGGATCCCCCTCCTAAGAAGACGGAAGGAGGGGACAGTCAGGAAAGATCCATCCCTAGGGAGAGCATTTTTAATATAAAAACAAAATGAGCTTCTCTGACAATAATTTTTCTCAACTGTGGCAGGTCTGGCTGATGTGCAGAAAAACCTTAGCTAATTGGCACTTGGGTAGAGCTGAGTAAGCCATGCCAGTGACCTCCCCTACTTACCCACCACCGCCCCTCCCCCCATGTCAGCACTTTCTGGCTCCCAGCTGTTGGTGCAGCACTGGCAAGAATCAGCTCCTCAGAGTTAATGGACAGTCACTAACCTTTATAACAAAGTGACAGCAGCAGAGGCGGCAGCAACCACAGAGAGGGGCTTTATTTTCTGCAAGACTGGTCTGTGGAAGGTGACAGCCTGCTGCCAGGGCTAGATCCATGCACCACCCCTCCTTCTACAGCTATCTGGGTGGACACCCCACCCCCAGAGCTGTCAGGGTTTAGGGCATCTCTGGGCACCAGGCAGACACATCTGGCTTCTCTCCCAGCAGGGGAAAACTACCCACTGGCTACTTCTTGTGTTCCCCTCCTGCCCCTTCCCTGCTGAGGCTTCTACTCTGACCCCCTCTGCAAGGTTTCAAAAGGAAGAAGGGAGTCAACCCAGGCACATTATTGGGTAATGTTGGTTATCTGGGGTTGGGGGTGAGAGAGGTCTGAGGAAGGGGAAGAGATGAATGTCATTAAGAAATTACATGTGTACATGTGTATTTGTGTGTGTGTGTTTAATAGAGAGATTGTAACATTGAAATAAACATGCCAATCCCTTCCCCATGGTGGCACACAGAAAATGACAGAGAAAGAGAATAAGAGAATATCTGGAGATATCTGCACATTATTAATGACCTTCGGGTTCAAAGGCCAATTCACCACCCCAGGGAGAAAGAAAAAGAAGCAGCCTTCACTTTAGGAAGAAGAAACATTTCAGTTCCTTAAACATTTGGCATTTTCCAATGTCCTTCCCTTCTCAGAGGCTTGGTAGGCATCCTATCTGGAGCAAGGTCCCTTTTGCTACAAGCTAAGGGACAATAAAAACTGATCTCATCCCTGTTCTTCGTATCCAGGTTCTCTCTTCTCTTGCCTCCTCCCCTATTCTCTCTTCTTCCTTCTCCCTGCAGCTGCTCCCACCCCCACCCCCACCCCAAGCAAGCCAAGCAGGGAGTAAAGGCCCGATGCTCTACCTCCCCATTATGTGGGCTATCTTCTGCCATCAGATGCTCTGTTTGCCTGTAAGTGGTTGGGAATGAGCTGCTTCAGTGGAGAGACAGGTTGTTTCAGTGAGAATAAAGATTTGATTCCTGCCTGAAAATGGACTAATTTGAGTAGTGATGCTACCACCTCAATCCTCCCAGCAATTTTCACCCTTGTCAGCCACAATCCATTCCCCCAGGCAGGTGGATTATGCTCTGAGGGAGAGGCCAGTCCAGCCCAAGGGAGCCCAGGGCGGCAGTGGATAGAAAACAGGGTAGACTTTTTTCCCTGGAAGACAGCACCTTAGAAGACTTCCATAGGAGCTGAGAAGTGTTCCAGCTGTTTTTTCTGTTTCCTGGGTCCCCTCCTCAGCCCTCTTCTCTCCCCTCCTTGATCTTCTCTTCTCCTCCCTATCCATAGGTCCTTCAGTAATTCTCAAATATCTCTCCAGCCCTGACCACTACCCAGGGCTTCAACTTCATACATTCAATTGCTACATGGAGTTTCTACCCTAGGATCCCAAAGACACTTCAAGACCAAATTCACCCACTTTGCCTTCCCATCCTCTCATCCTTTTTTGCTTGTGTGAGTGCATGTGAGTGTGAGTGTGAGTGTGTGTGTGTGTGTGTGTGTGTGTGTGTTTCATTTTTCCAGCTTGGTACTTGGTGGGCCTTTTCAATCAAATTATTCTTTTTTCTTTCAGCTCAAGAAACACTTTCTGCTTCTGTTCTTTTAATTACTATTTTTCCTTCAGTCTTTCTGAAACTTCTGTTAGATGGATGTTGGACCTCTGGGACTCTTCTCTGTATCTCTTAGCTCTATTTCATATGCTTTATCTTTTTGCTCTCTATTTTGGGAAAATGTATTAACTTTTTCTTTTACATTAAAAAGTTAGTCTTGCCCTGGCCAGGTGTCTCAGTTGGTTGGAGCATTGTCCCGTGCACCAAAAAGCTTGTATGTTCTATTCCTGGTTTGGGTGTGTAATGGGAAGCAACCAACTGTCTCTCTCTCTCTCCCCCCCCCCTTTTCCCCTTTCTCTCTTGCTAAAAATCAATAGAAACATATCCTCAAGTGAGATTTAAAAACAAAAGTATGTCTTTGTGTCCATTCTATTACCAAGTCCCACCATTAAATTTTTGAAAATTTAGACAATTATTTTCAATTTCCCAAATACTTTCATGTTCTTTGATAGCTCTTTTTTTATAGCAGCCTGTTCTTGTTTATGAATGCAACATTCTCTTATATCTCTGTGACAATATGAATTTTTTTAAAGTTAAATATCTTTTCTATAACTTAGATGATCTTTATCTTATTTGGTCGATTGTTCTGTTTATTTAATCCTTTTACTTTATTTTCATGTATTCATTTTCCTTGTTGTCCATTCAGACTTATGAATAAAGGAAGGTGTTGACTAGCATGGGCAGCTGGTGTGGATTTCCTTGGAAGTTGGGTACATTTATTTTTCTAACAGGCTTCTCCCTGGAATGGGAATTGTTCTTATCTCTGGGGTTTTGGGTTTGCAGACTTCTTCACCAAGGAATTTCATCTGCTCTATATCTCCCAGAAATTCCTCAATGTTTTTGGTCCACTTATAGCATTCTTTTCTCTTTTCCAATTTTATTATGATTTTGTTCTTTAAAAAAAATATATGCCCTGGCATTTTTTTTTTTTTTTAATTTTTTTTGTGGTACATGGCCCTAGCGGGAACCGAACCCGGGACTCTCTGGTCCACAGGTCGACGTTCAACGGCTGAGCCAAACTGGCCAGGGCTGCCTTGGCATTTTAATAAAAACTTAAGAAGTAGAAGAGGGGATCATTTGTCTCAGGCTGCCTTCTTTTTATTTTATTTATTTTTTTGTTAATCCTCACCCAAGGTTTTATTATTATTATTATTATTATTATTATTGATTTTTAGAGCAAGTGGAAGGGGGAGAGAGAGACATCAATTGGTTGCCTCCCGCATGACCCCAACAGGGGCCTGTGATCAAACCTGCAACCCAGATATGTGCCCTTGACCAAGAATCAAACCCGAGGCACTTCGGTCCTTGGGTCAGTGCTGTCACAGCTGAACCAAACCAGCCAGGGCTCAGGCTGCCTTCTTAAACCAGCAGCCTCTCCTTGGATCTTCTGTCTCAGCTTCTGGCATCACCTTCTACTTGGCTGACAAAACCAGAAAACTGGGAGTCATTCCTGGCTCCTTCTCCTCCCTAACTTCTTGTCAACCACAAAGTTCTATTTATTTGGCCTCTTAACTACTCAAATATGACTCTTCATCTCCATCCATTTGCCATAGATCAGTTTCAGGTCCTTATCCTCTCCTGCCTCCATTTTTACAATAGTCTCTTTACAGGACTCCTAGCCTCTCTTCTTATTCACCTCAAATCTTTTCTACCCACTGCTGCCAGCCAGAGTGCTCTAAAACACAGGTATCACCATATCACTTCCTTGCTACAACTATCATTGGCTCCCCACTGTCCACAGGGAGGAAAATAAAAGTCTCTGTATGGAGTAGAAGACAATCCCCCTCCTGCCACATTCCATCAATCAAACCACCCTGGCCTCTCCTCCATACCAGTAGCCCATGTTTTTGTGTTGTTTCCTCTGCTAGAAATGCTCTCCCCTCATTGTCTCACTTAGATGACTCACCTTCTTTCTTCAAGACTCATTTCAGCTGTCACCTGCTCTGAAACCCTCTTCATAGTTCCCACCATCACCCCACTCCCGTCCTAGGATAGGAGTCTCTTATCAGTGCACCATATCACTGTGTGTGCTGCTAACACAACTTACTACCTTGTATTGAAATTTTGTATTTGCTAGTCTGTATTCCCCACCCCTCCTCAAAGCAGGCACATTGCTTGTTTATTTTTGCACTCCTAATAACTGCTCAAGAAAAGTTTGTTGCATAGAACTAAATGTGCCCTGGCTAGATGTGTTCCATCCATCCCAGATCACAGAAACTATTTTCTTATGCAGGAAGCTCAGCACACCTAGCTCACGCATTCTCTCATGAGCTCAGCTGTTTAATGAGTGCCTGCTATATGCCAGGCAAGGCACTGCAGGGATAAGAAAGAGAGATGCAGTCCCCAGCCTCTTGAAGCTCACAGTCTGGTAAGGGAGAAAGACACTAATCAATAGATCACACACATACAAGTAGAGACTGAGATAAACTCTCCGAGAGGAAGAGCAGACAACCAGGGGGACGAAATCTAGACTAAGGAGGTAGGGATGCCCTCCCCGAGGAAGTGACTTTTGAGCCCAGAGCAGAAGTGTTTTGATGTGAGTAGAAACAACATTTCTGAGAAACACGCTTGAAGTGAAGGAGAGGGGACAGGAGCCCAAGGAGGGAACTGGCACTGGGGAAGGATGTTCCAGTTATCTGTTGCTGCCTGACTGCCCCAGAACTTAGTGACTAAAACAAAAGATATTTTATTACACCTCAGGATTTGGGGGATCAGAAATCCATGCAGAATTGAGCTGTGTGATTAATCCACGTGGCACGTGCAGAGGTCACCCAGTGGTGTTCAGCGGACAGTGGGCTGGTTTGGAAAGTCTAAGATGGCTTCACTCACACACATGGCTGGCTTCTCCACGATGCCTAGAAGGCTGGGCTCAGCAGGCTCCACTGACAGGAAGGAGGATCTACACTCATGGCCTCCGGCATGGTGGCCTCAGACTAGTCCAACTATGTACAGGCAGCTCAGGTTCCAAG